GTGGCACGCCTATAGTCCCAGCTACTGGGGAGGCTGAGGTGGGAGAATCGCTTGAACCCAGGAGGTGGAGGTTTCAGTGAGCTGAGGTCACACCACTGCCCTCCAGCCTGGGTGAGAGTAAGACCCCATCTCAAAACAAACAAACAAACAAACAAGCAAAACCCCAGAAGACTTGTATAACACTATAGGCCAAATAGCCCTAACAGATGTGTTCAGAGCAGTTCACCAACAGCAGTAGAATACACATTCTTCTCAAGTGATATGCAACTTTCTCTGGGATAGATCAAATTCTGTTTTTACCACATACAATGAAGTTTTCTGAACAAGAAAGAAAATCATAAAATATAAACTCTGTTTCTTTGAGGCCCTTGTCATTCACCTGTAACATCTTTTCTTTCTACATTGCTATAATCTGACCACCTGGTTGATCCTGCTTCTTTATTTGAATTTTGAGAATATGGTTATCTTTCTCTCCAGTAAAAGTACAAACAAGTATTCTGAATGAAATTGTATTAGTCTGTTTTCACACTACTGATAAAGACATACCCAAGACTGGGAATTTATAAATAAAAAGAAGTTTAATGGACTCACAATTCCTCATGGGTGGGGAGGCCTCACAATCATGGTGAAAACAAAGGAAGAGCAAAGGGATGTCTTACATGGCAGCAGGCAAGAAGAGGACTTGTGCAGGGGAACTCCTCTTTATAAATCCATCAGATCTTGTGAGACTTATTCACTATCATGAGAACAGCACAGGAAAGACCTGCCCCAGTGATCCAATTACCTTCCACTAGGTTCCTCTCATGACATGTGGGAATTGTGGGAGCTACAATTCAAGATGAGTTTTGGGTAGGGACACAGCCAAACCATATCAGATATTAACCATGTGGGTAATTGATCAAACAGCATCAGACTCTGAACTTCTTGACTCCCTCATCTTCCATGATTTTTATAGTTTGCCCACACACTTTCACAGCTACCCACTGGATACTTATTACTGTGTTTTTGTTTGCTAGACCTACCATAACAAAATACAACAAAGTGGATGGCTTAAACAACATAATTTCTTTCCTCACAATTCTAGAGGCTAGAAGCCCCAAATCAAGGTGTTGGTAGGTTTAGTTTCTTATGAGACCTCTCTGCTTGGCTTGCAGACAACTGTTTCTTGCTATGTTCTCACATGGTCATCTCTATGTTTGTGTTGTCTGTGTCTTAATCCCCTCTTCTTATAAAGACATCAGTCATATTGGATTAATGGCCCACCCTAACAACCCTGTTTTAACTTATCTCTTTTAAAGATCTATCCCCAAATGTAGTCACATTCTGAAGTATTGGGGGTTAGAACTTCAATATATGAATTTTTTTCTGAAGGGACACAATTGAGCACATAACAACTATAAGAGCTCAAGCTTAAAAGTCAACTATTTCGGCTGGGTATGGTGGCTTACATCGGTAATTCCAGCATTTTGGGAGGCCAAGGTGGGCGGATCACAAGGTCAGGAGATTGAGACCATCCTGGCTAACACGGTGAAACTCCGACTCTACTAAAAATACAAAAAAATTAGCTGAGTGTGGTGGCAGGCACCTGTAGTCCCAGCTACTCGGGAGGCTGAGGCAGGAGAATGGTGTGAACCCAAGAGGCGGAGCTTGCAGTGAGCTGAGATCATGCCGCTGCACTCCAACCTGGGTGACAGAGCAAGACTCCATCTCAAAAAAAAAAAAAAAAAAGTCAACGATTTGGAAACCATCATTCTCAGCAAACTAACACAGGAACAGAAAACCAAACACCACATGTTCTAACTCATAAGTGGAAGTTGAACAATGAGAACACATGAATGCAGGGAGGGGAACATCACACACTGGGGCCTGTCAGCAGGTGGGAGGATAGGGGAGGGATAGTATTACGAGAAATATCTAATGTAGATGACGGGTTGATGGGTGCAGGAGACCACCATGGCATGTGTATACCTATGTAACAAACCTGCACATTCTGCACATGCATCCTAGAACTTAAAGTATAATTAAAAAAAAAAAAGTCAACTATTAAACTAGCCTTTACTCTGACTTCACCCTTTGTCTTTTTCAGACAATTTATTTGCTACTCTATCTCCAAGCAGTTCTTTGATGACACGGACCTGTATTTCATTCACAATTTGCTTTTCCTAACTTATTAGTTCTCTCTTCTTCATTTCCTTCCATGTCCAGCTTAAATTTTATAATTCTTTATTTCAATAATACTATGGATTGAATGTTTATACTCCCCCTGACACTCCAATTCATGTTGAAGCCTAAATCCCCCATGTGATAGTATTTGGAGGTGGGGCCTTTGAGGTAATTAGGTCATGAGGGTGGAACCTTTGTGAATGGGATTAATTTCCTTATAAGGGGATGAAGAGACCAGAGTTTGTTCTCTCTGTCCTATGAGAATACAACAAGATCACCATCAATGAACCAGGAAAAATGCCCTTATCAGATACTTGATCTTGGGCTTCCCAGCTCCTGGAACTCCGAGAGATGAATTTCTGTTATTTAAGCTACCTAGTTTATGGTATTCTATTATAGCGGCCTGAACTAAGATAAACAAGGATCAATAACATTCTTCCAATGCCCTGATTTCCTTTATCCCTCTATCTTTTCTTCATACCCATCAAGCAAAAGTCCATCTCTGAACTTCCCCCAACTAATTTATATTGGCCTATAGTGATCAGCCAAAGGCTGCTGGAGATAGTTATATGTCAACGAAGATTACCTCCTCTATAATTTAGTGATTAAAATGGGCTCGACATAATCCATAAAATGGTTCAGCAATCCCATGACATTGCTCTTTTTTTTTTCTAAGAAAAAATATATTATATATTATTTTTCAAATGATTTACAGTTTTGTTTTTTGGAATTTTATTTTACATAAGAATTGTAGTAGAAATTGTATTTTTTGTTCACAAATGAATAACCATCATTAGTTTTACAGAAGCATCCATAAGTTCCCCTACTGATATGTAATACGAATTCTTCCACGTATAGATTTTCAAATCACATGTGGGTCTGCTTTTAGACACTGTTCCATTGAAATATTTGTACATCTCTACCATGTGAATATATGCTGAATTACTGTAGTTTTAGACATTGCTCTTATCAACTCCCTCTTTCACATATGATGACCATTTTAGAACTTTTCTTCTCTACAAAGCTTCAAGCCTTTTGCTCCCAACTCACTCTCAGCAAAACTTATATCATAGAAAAACTAGGAGCCCTCAGACAGGAACTTTTTCACTTCCCAGTGCCAAACGGAAAATCCCATTTACCTCTGTATTCATCTGCTCCTCCTCCCTCTTTTGCAATAGAGAAGCTGTCTCCCTTCCTACTTAAGGCCAATTCTGCCTCTTGCCCTTTTGTTTCTACTCTCTCCCAGTTTTTTTTCAATATTTTACATTATTTCTCTTTTCTGTCGTAGAAATTTAATCATACCTGTTTATTGGACTGTTTCCTTCAGTATTTAAATATGTCCTTGTCTCTCCCACTTACAAAACATAACTTCCTTGATCTTATATTCTCCTCTAGCTACTACCCTATCTCTCTAATCAGCCTACTTTCTCAAAAGGATGGACTATTCTCAGACTCCATTTCCTTACATATCACTCTCTCCTTTATGTGCTCTTACCTGACTTCTAGTCTCATCATTCCACCAAATCAACTCTTCTAAAAGCACCAATAATATCCATTTAACATTTAGTTCTTATATTTCTTGACCTCTTAGCAACGTTTGATCCTATCAATCTGTCCTTACTTTTTGAAATACCATTTCGCTTTCACTTTTGTGGTACTATGCTTCGCTGGTTCCCTTTCCCACATCTTGTCATTCTTTCTCAGTCTTCCACACTCAGTCATTGAGTATTAAGTTTCCCTAAGGCTCTGCCAATCTCTCCTCTCATTCTGTTCTTTTGCCCTAGGTGATGCCATCCAAGCCACAGTTTTCTTTTAAAAGCAAATGTTCCACAGGACTTTTGCACATGGTGTTTTCCTTGAGGGCTTGCTCCCTCAAACCCTCCCTTAACTCATTATGTAATTATAATTTATATATTCTTTACCTTGAAACTCAGATACCACCTTCTCTGAAAGCTTTATACAACCTACTTGTTCTATGACACCTCTGCAGGACTTCTGCAATTATAATTTATGTTTATTTATCTGATTTGCTAAATTAAAATCTTCCATTGGAGATAAGCTACATTATGGCAGATATTATGTTTTTCTTATTATAAATTTATCTCTACCACTTAAGAAAATGCTGAGTACATAGTAGGCACACAACAAATAATTGTAGATGAAATAACCAAATGAATAAACATTTCAAATAATGTATCTGTAAATATCAAGATGGGGATTTCCTATTCATGATTAAATACATGGTTTTGAAGCCAAGAGAGAAGTCTGGGCTGGAGAGATTAATTTGAAACTTAATTGCATGTAAATGATAATGAAGGTTGTAAGATTTCCCAGAAAATGCTTATGGAGGGAGAGAAGAGGGAAGAGGACAAAAACCTTGGAAACATCCACATTTGTTAAACTGAGGCAGAGAGAGGATGAGCCATCAAAGTAGGCTGGGACTGACTACACCATCCACACACGCAGACTTTCCTTGGCAGTCCTAATTTTAATATTTGGCTCTTCCAGCTAACAGGTTTCACAATCACATATATTCATCAGAAAATCAGAAAATATGTATGAATCACATATGTTATGGCATCTATAAAGGAACCAAATGTAAATCTAATTTTAATAATTACCTTATTAATTAATAATGATATAACAATAATTAATACTTATGACTATATAATAATTATTAATAAACCTGACTTTTTAACCAATAACTGCAGTGAGGAATTAGTGTGTTTTAAACATGGCTAATATACATAGTAATTATATTTTTTATTTATAATCTTTTTAAACTATGCTTTAAAAAATTTGCCTAAATGTAAATATGTTCAATTTTTCTTTTTTAGCTTGAAAGTACTTTACTAATTATCTGTGAAAATGGCTATATTCTTGAAGCTCCAGTTCCAACCATAAATCTAGAAGAGGATGATCATGATGTAGTCTCCTATGAAATCAAAGACATGTGCTTAAAATGTTTCCATTTTTCAAGTGTCAAATCTAAGATTCTGGTATGGAATATTACTGAAGCATTATCTTCTAATAATTTCCTTTCCTTAGAATATAAAATATCCTGTGTTAAGTGCTGATGGAATACAGAAAAGAATAAAACATAGGTCCGGAACTTAAGGAGTTTATAATCTGGTAGGAAAGCAGCTATTAGAAGGCAGTAGTAAATAGATATGGAAATCAAAATGCAAAGAAGGAAATTTTAGGGGTCTGCAGAAGAAAAGAGAGGATTCTGATAGAGGGATATGGGAGAAGGTCAAAGATGACTGCCTGGAAGTGACATTTGGTACCTAAAGAATAGGAAAGGTCAGGCACATTGGCTCATGCCTGTCATCCTAGCACTTTGAGGGGCTGAGGTGGGAGGATCGCTTGAACCCAGGAGTTTATGGTTGCAGTGAGCTATGATTGCACCACTGCACTCCAGCCCAGGTGACAGAGTGAGACCCTGTCTCAAGAAAAAAAGATAGGGGGAATTTTGAGAGGTGAAAATAGGACGATGGCAATAAAGGCTGGAAGAACATCCCAAGAGAACACAGAGTTATGAGTGTTTTCAAGAAATGAGGAATAGATCAATAAAATATAGGTAGGCAATTTGTGGAGGGATGTTTCAAGAGTCTGTGACCAATGCATGGGGCTCCTTAAATGCCAGCCAAGACATTTCATTTTAGACCATTGAGATCCATTGTGAGTTTGTGAGGAGAGGATTGATGGGATGATATCATGTAAGTTAGGAAGATAATTGTGAGGGGTGAACAGAATGAAGTGGTAAAAGATGGGAGGTGGAAATACCAGTGTCAGAGGGCTTTTGCAAAGGACAATTGATAGACGATGAAGGCCAAACTCACAGTATTACTAAAGTTGGAAGCAACTTTCCTTGTGGACTCTTTCAGTCTGCCTAATTCCTGGGTTAACAGTGATAGGCTCCAAGAGAAGTTATATTTAGCTTCTCTATTAGGAAAAAAATGACCAAATAACTTCTGTAAAACCAAGATTAATAGGGATAGAACAAAAATGAGTCATTCCAATGATTTAAAAGTTTTAATGATAAAAATATATTCTGACATTGGTGAGTATTTTTAAATACTATTTTTACAGAGCTGTGTATCTTTCTATTTCCATTGTCATCCCCAATGGTGTAAATGAACGAATGAGTCATAATTGTTTTTATACCTACTTAATGTTTCTTTTAAAAGAGATCAATAGAAATTGAAAAGAGGGAGAGACAAAGGAAGTTGAAGGAAAAAATAAGGGAAGAAAGGAGGAACAAGCTAGCAGCAGAGATGGGAGAAGATGGAGAAAAAGAATTTCAGGAGGAGGAAGAGGAGGAAGAGGAGGAGGAGGAAGAAGAGCCTTTACCGGAAATATTTATTCCATCAACCCCCTCTCCCATCCTCTGTGGATTTTACTCGGAGCCAGGGAAGTTCTGGGTTTCTTTGGTAGGTAACAATGTAACAATTTTTACCTCAATCATATTTCAATATAGTTTGTAGTTATTGTAACTTCATTCTTTCTTGCTCTTATGTTAAGATTTCACTTATCTATTTTTTTTTAGATTTCATTTATTAAATACTATTGAAGTTGTGAGTTTTGTTGAATGAATGTGGGATATAGTTGTTTTAAAATAATCTTAACATCTTTTTTATATGTCTACTTGTGCAGATAATTGTACAGATAAATCTATAGATTATCTATTATCTGCTTGTCAATCATAATGTTCCAGGCAGGTCAAAGTGGAGAAGGATCAAGTGTAGAAAGGCAAAAGGCTAGGGGTTTTTCCAACCAAGACTGTTGTTTTTTAATTTTGAAAAGAATAGCTTTCATGGCAGTACTATCCAGTAGACTTTTCTTACCTCTCATTATCTACAACTATGCTATGTGGTCACATGCAAGTCTAGGAAGATAAGTGTTTTCAGATGGTCTAATTGCCACCCTGAACAAAAGCAGAACTTGGCTCATAAGGAAGAAGGGAAAAATGGATATTAGGAAGAAAGTATCAGGGCCTATCACAATGCTGTAGGAGTACATTCTCCAATTATGCATTTTTTACTCTTTGCCTGAAATATTTTATTGATCTACTACAAAGCAAGATTTCCTTCATTATAATTTTGTCACAATTTTCAGTTCCATCCACCAAAAAAAAAAAAAATTCATAAAAGTGTATTTGGAAGATCATTACTAATTCATCACTGGTCCTAGGTCTTTAGCCAGGCCAGCACACTGACTAGCCAAGGACTGTTGCTGTAAGGAGGGATGAGTGTTGACTTTTTCCCTCCTCAACTTTTCCTAGAACTATATCTTTTGTATTACTAAGGAGGCAAGCAGAAAGAAGGATGGAAAATAGCACTGGAGACATCATAGGACGTCATGTATTAGTTCCTCTACCCTTTCTGCCTGTCTTCTGTGTTTTATAAAACAATTGTAAATGACTACTATGGTATGGAGTTCAATGGATAAAGGGATAAAGAAAACATGGTTCCTCTCTTCAGGAAGTCTTCATTTGAGGGAAAGAAGTACAGAAACAATTAACTGTAATACAATGCAATAAATTTCCAGTGTCCTGGAAATATAGATACAAAAATTACTTATTATTTAACAAACATATTTGAGCCAGGGGCAGAGGTGCATGTCTGTAGTCCCAGCTACTCAAGAAGCTGAGGTGGGAAGATTGCTTGAGCCCAGGAGTTTAAGACCAGCCTGTATAATATAGTGAGACCCCATTTCAAACAACAACAACAACAACAACAAAACACAAACAGAAAACCCCATGCATATTTAGTACTTACTCTTAGGGTTTCCAAGTAAAATTACATAGTACATACTTACACTAAAAATTATTTTTAGCTGGGTGCAGTGTCTCACACCTGTAATCCCAGTACTTTGGGAGGCCAAGGCAGGTGGATCACGAGGTCAGAAAATTGAGACCATCCTGGCCAACATGGTGAAATCCTGTCTCTACTAAAATACAAAAAATTAGCCTGGCATGGTAGCAGATGCCTGTAGTCCCAGTTGCTCGGGAGGCCAAGGCAGGGGAATCACTTGAACCCAGGAGGTGAAGGTTGCAGTGAGCCGAGATTGTGCCACTGCACTCCAGCCTGGTGACAGAACAAGACTCCATCTCAAAAAAAAAAAAAAATATATATATATAGATAGATAGATAGATAGATAGATAGATATTATATCTCTCTCTCTATATATTTTTGTCTGAAATTTAAATTTAATAGACGACCTTTATTTTCATTTGCTGAATATGACAACCTACTTATTCTGTACCAGGTATTTTTCTAAGTAATTTACTTAACCAACCATAAAATAAGTGCTATTATTTTTTGCATTTTATATGTGAAGAAACCAAGGCATGGAAATGTTAGGCATTTTATCCAAGGCCATATAACTAATGAGAAGTGAAAGTAGGATCTGGACTCAAGCATTCTAGCTCCAGAGTTCATACCCTTAACCATTAAGCTACACTGGTGAACAAGGTTATAGTTAACAGAGGTAGCAGAGCTTGAGCCAACAATTTGACAACTCTGTGCCTGCAACCAAACAAATGGTGAAGAAAAACCCATCTCATTTTGAAGTAATGACTGCAGTTCTCAAATCAATACTCACACTGTGGCCGATTCTACTGCCCAGCCATATTCACTTTCCAAATTATTGCATTAAGTTTCTTCTCCCCTCAAACATTTTGTACCTTCTCTTACCTTCAATGATAACCTCATCTCACATTTCACAGAAAAAAATAAAAGCAGATGGAATTTCCTTTTCTTGTCTCAATTAGATGTAACACCCTATAGGGATCTCTATACCTTTTGTCTGCTTTGTCTATTGTTATAATTGAAGAATAGTCCCTTGCAACTCTCCAAGGACATTGTTCCCAAGAGCTCCTTGATCCCATCCCTTCTCATTTTCTCAAAAATTTTGCTCCTGAGATAAACCACTTGGTCTCCTGTATCATCAATTTCTGTGTTTTCTATTCAGTTATTATCATGAGCATACAAACATGCTCTAGTACTAATTTTAATTTTATTTCCTTAACCTCTCTTTCTTTCTGCCCCCCTGCTCTATTATGTAAAAAGTTACTAAAAGAATCATCTGTAATCATTGGCTTAACTTATCCACCTCCTATTTGACTTCAGCCCCTTCCAACTGGGCTTCTGTCTCCATCACTTCACTAATGATGACAAGCTCAGAGGTCAATTCTCTGTCCATTTGACTTTTTGGAACATTTAACAGAGTTGATCCCTCATACTTCTCAAATGTTTTCTTCTCTTGGCTTCTAAGACATTACACTCTTCTGGCCACTCCATTTCAACCTCTTTTGCTGGCTTCTCATGTGCAGAACAAGCTTTGAAGTTTGAAATACTCCAGAGTGTGGCCTTGGGCCCCCTCTTTCTTGCTAAGGTAACTTTACACCGTCTGATGACTTTAAATATCACTTATCTTCCAGTGAATCTCAAATATTTATCTCTAGTCCTGACCTCTCCCCTCCACTTAGACTTGTATATACAACTTGACAGTGCTCCTTGGCCCTCAAAATTAACCTGTCCAAGACATTACTTTTAAACCATACATGTCCCATACAAACCTGCTCCATCTCCATCTCAGTAAATGAGACAATCATCCACGTAGTTACTATGCCAAAACCTCGAAGTTATTAAGGATTCTTCTCTTTCCTTTACTATTTGATACCCTTATATTGAAAGTAGGTCTCTTGTAAACAGTATATGGTTAGGCTTAAAAGAATCCTATAGGATTATATTTATATTTTTAAAAAGTACTATGTTCATTTATATTTAATGTAATTACTGATATATTTTAGTTTAAATCTACCATCTTAGTAATTATTTCTATTTGTCACACTCATTCTAAATTTCTTTTCTTTCCCTTTTTCACCTTCTATTGAGTGATTAGGTAATTTTTCCTACAGTTTTCTTCCTCTACTAGATTATTAGTTATATATTCTTTTACTCTTCTTTTAGAGGTGATTTTATTTATTTATTTATTATTGTTTTTGAGACAGAGTCTCACTCATTCTGTTGCCCAGGCTGGAATGCAGTAGTGCCATCTCGGCTCACTACAGCCTCTACTTCCCAGGTTCAAGTGATTCTCCTGCCTTAGTTTCCCAAGTAGCTGGGATTATAGGCATGTGCCAGCATGCGTGGTTAAAAGGTGTAGTTTATTCATTTTTATTTTGTTTGCAGTTCGTAGCACTCTAAATTTCAACATCTCTCTTCAGTTTTAGAAAATTCTCAGCCGTTATCTACCACAATGTTGCTTCTGGCTTATCTTTTCACTCTCTTGTTCTGGGACCCCAACTTCATATGTATTACATCCTTCTCATTATGTTCCATATGTATCTTACATCATTCAAGAAGATTTTCCATCCTTTTTCTCTCTCTCCATGCTTTAGCCTATTTTTTTCTGATCTCTGTTCCAGCTTCATAACTGTCTTTTATTTTAAAGTTTGTTTTTCCAATTGTTTTTTATTGAAGTAAAAGACACATAAAATTGACCATCTTAAGCATTTTTAAGTGTACAGCTCAGTAGTACTAAACGTATTCACAGTGTTGTGACATCATCACCAACATCTGTCTCCACTGTCCTCCTCATCCTGTCACACTGAAACTCCCATACCCATCAAATGATAACTCCTGATCTTCCCTTCTCTCAGCCCCTGGCAACCATCACTCTACTTTCTTTTTCTATGATTTTGACTACTCTAAGTATCTCAAATAAGTGAAATTATATAGTATCTGTCTCTTTATGACTGGCTTGTTTCACTTGGCATAATTTCCCCAAGTTTCATCCATGATGTGGCATACGTCAGAATTTCCTTTCAAGGCTGAATAATACTCCATTTTAAGTATGTACCGTATTTTGCTTATATACTCAGTCATCAATAGACACTTGGGGCCAAACATGGTGGCTCATGCCTGTAATCCTAGCACTTTAGGAGGTCAAGGCAGGTGAATCACTTGAAGCCAAGAGTTCCAGACCAGCCTGGCCAACATGGCAAAACCCCATCTCTACTAAAAATAGAAAAAATTAGATGGGTGCAGTGGCTCACACCTGCTAGCTACCTGGGAGGCCAAGGCAGGAGAATGGCTTGAACTTGGGAGGTGGAAGTTGCAGTGAGCCAAGATGGCACCACTGCATTCTAGCCTGGGTGACAGAGTGAGACCCCATCTCAAAATAAACACACAAAAATAGGCACGTGGATTGCTCCCACCTTTTGGCTATTGTGAATAATGATGCTATGAATGAGGTGGGTGTTCAAATACCTCTTTGAGACCCTGACTGAACCCTGGGAATGATTATTTCTTTCTCCGTAAGTCCACGAGACTGCAGATAGCTTTGTCCAGCTTCTTAGCCTCTTAGCTGCCACTTTAAGAACTGACAGTTGCTCCGGGGAGTAAAGCAGTGTCAAATGCCAGGCTCACTTCTGGCTTTCCCTCTTGTTTGGATCTTGCGATTTTGGTAGCTTTCCAATGCCTTCAAACACATTTAGAAAATTTTTTCTGGTTGTTCTCAGTTGGAGAGTTCGGCTGAAACAATCTAGTCTGCCATTGTCAAAAGTGAAAACTTAGTAATTTGATTTTCAGAGGTGACCATGTTGTTACCTTCTCTTCTTATTTATTCTTTTTTTGTTCATAAAGTTGTTCTGACCCTTAATTTGTTTCCTATAATAAGGAGTCTCAGTAATAAGGAAATTAGAGTTGGAGCAATATAGCTCTTCCAGTTGATCATTCATCTTCTCACTACATGGATAAATTTTTCTGAAATAGCCCTTTCTGGAAAATTAACAGTGTTTATAGTTACCTTAAACTGAAAACTAGCTGTAAAAACGAGGAAGTGCAGAACCCTATTATTTGTTACTGCTTATTCAGAATAATGCTTGAAGACATAAAATGAAATTCTATAGGTAGGGAGTCAGAGGTGATCTCTCTCTTGTATTGGCTTTTAAATGAAAACAAATCATCATAAGGTTTTTATTATAATTATATAGTTGTGTATAAATGGATAAAGGAGATGATTTATAGAAATAATAAATCTATAATCATAGAAATTATGTAGAAGTAGATGTTTGAAAACATCTATTTTATGTTTTCAAATTTGAAATAAAAAATTCTCATGCATTTATATGTGTTATATTCAAGTACCACCTTCTATGTTACTTATCTCTTTTCTAGGGTGACTACGATTCTGGTTTTCTGTATCACTGTGAGTTCCCCCCTTGTGATAAAAGCAGTGATTTCAAGGAACAAAAAGATGAACCTATTGATGTCCGTTATCTTGAGGATACAGAGGATAATCCCATCCAAACTATCACTTTCAAGTGAGCAGTATTTCAAAAAGCTTTAAAAAACCATATCCCATATCCCATTAGTGTCTATGCTTTTGTCCATCATGGATATTGTCAATTTTTAGAGATCCATCCAAATGAAGGGGTACTCAAAAAATATTTGGTTAAATAAATAAATGAATAAATATAATCAAAGCTAATTCTGAAATTACATTTAAATACCCCCACCAAATATTCTGTCAGTATTTTTGTTTATCGCACGATTGAATTGCATGGATTTACATTCTGTTACCTAGGAGGATGCTACTTACATAGTCAGAAATGAAGGTTCAGGGTTACAGTTATTCTGGAGAAATCGCAATTGAATCATTAGCCCTTTGATAGTTGAGAACTAGGCATATATGCCAGTTATTCTTCTGACGACCCAATATAATAGCTCCAAATTTCAAATTGGCCCTTTTTCTCTATTCTTTTGTATTAGTTTGCTAGGGCTGCCACAATAAAACACCACAGACTAGGTAGCTTAAACAGCAGAATCTTTTTTCTCACAGTTCTGGAGGCTAGAGTTCCAAGATCAAGGTGTCAGCAGCTTGGTTTCTTTTGAGGCCTCTCTCCTTGACTTATAGATATCTGCCTTCTTGCATGATCTTTTCTCTGGGTGCCTGTCATCCCTGATGTTTCTGTCTGTATTCTAATCTCTTCTTCTTCTTTTTTTTTAAATTATTGTACTTTAAGTTCAAGGGTGCATATGCACAACATGCACATTTGTTACATAGGTATACATGTGCCATGTTGGCTTATGCACCTATCAACTCATCATTTATATTAGGTATTTCTTCTAATACTATCCTTCCCCCAGCCCCCACTCCCCAACAGGCCCTGGTGTGTGATATTCCCTGCCCTGTGTCCATGTGTTCTCGTTGTTCAGTTCCCACCTATGAGTGAGAACATGCAGTGTTTGATTTTCTGTCCTTGTGATAGTTTGCTGAGAATGATGGTTTCCACCTGCATCCATGTCCCTGCAAAGGATATGAACTCAACCTTTTTTATGGCTGCATAGTATTCCATGGTATATATGTGCCACATTTTCTTTTTTTTTTTCTTTTTAAAATTTATTTATTATTATTAAACTTCAAGTTGTAGGGTACATGTGCACAACGTGCAGGTTTGCTACATATGTATACTTGTGCCATGTTGGTGTGCTGCACCCATCAACTCGTCATTTACATCAGGTATAACTCCCAATGCAATCCCTCCCCCCTCCCCCCTCCCCATGACAGGCCCCGGTGTGTGCTGTTCCCCTTCCCGAGTCCAAGTGATCTCATTGTTCAGTTCCCGCCTATGAGTGAGAACATGCGGTGTTTGGTTTTCTGTTCTTGTGATAGTTTGCTGAGAATGATGGTTTCCAGCTGCATCCATGTCCCTACAAAGGACACAAACTCATCCTTCTTTATGGCTGCATAGTATTCCATGGTGTATATGGTGCCACATTTTCTTAATCCAGTCTATCATTGATGGACATTTGGGTTGGTTCCAAGTCTTTGTTATTGTGAATGGTGCCGCAATAAACATACATGTACATGTGTCTCTTTAGTAGCATGATTTATAATCCTTTGGGTATATACCCAATAATGGGATCACTGGGTCAAATAGTATTTCTAGTTGTAGATCTTTGAGGAATCGCCACACTGTCTTTCACAATGGTTGAACTAATTTATACTCCCACCGGCAGCGTAAAAGTGTTCCTATTTTTCCACATCCTCTCCAGCATCTGTTGTTTCCTGACTTTTTAATGATCACTGTTCTAACTGGCGTGAGATGGTATCTCACTGTGGTTTTGATTTGCATTTCTCTGATGATCAGTGGTGATGAGCATTTTTTCATGTGTCTGTTGGCAGCATAAATGTCTTCTTTTGAGAAGTGTCTGTTCATATCCTTTGCCCACCTTTTGATGGGATTGTTTGTTTTTTTTTTTTTTCCTGTAAATTTGTTTAAGTTATTTGTAGATTCTGGATATTAGCCCTTTGTCAGATGGGTAGATTGCAAACATTTTCTCCCATTCTGTAGGTTGCCTGTTCACTCTGATAATTGTTTCTTTTGCTGTACAGAAGCACTTTAGTTTAATTAGATTCCATTTGTCTATTTTGGTTTCTGTTGCCATTGCTTTTGGTGTTTTAGACATGAAGTCTTTGCCCATGCCTATGTCCTGAATGGTATCGCCTAGGTTTTCTTCTAGGGCTTTTATGACTTTAGGTCTTACATTTAAGTCTTTAATCCATCTTGAGTTACTTTTTGTATAACGTGTAAGGAAGGGATCCAGTTTCAGCTTTCTACATATGGCTAGTCAGTTTTCCCAGCACCATTTATTAAATAAGGAATGCTTTCCCCATTTCTTGTTTTTGTCAGGTTTGTCAAAGATCAGATGGTTGTAGATGTGTGGTGTTATTTCTGAGGCCTCTGTTCTGTTCCATTGGTCTGTATATCTGTTTTGGTACCAGTACCATGCTGTTTTGGTTACTATAGCCTTGTAGTATAGTTTGAAGTCAGGTAGTGTAATGCCTCCAGCTTTGTTCTTTTGCTTAGGATTGTCTTGGCTATGCAGGCTCTTTTTTGGTTACATATGAACTTTAAAGTAGTTTTTTCCAATTCCGTGAAGAAAGTCATTGGTAGCTTGACCAATGATGGCATTGAATCTATGAATTACCTTGGGCAGTATGGCCATGTTCACAGTATTGAGTCTTCCTATTTATGAACATGAAATGTTCTTCCATTTGTTTGTATGCTCTTTTATTTCATTGAGCAGTGGTTTGTAGTTCTCTTTGAAGAGGTCCTTCACATCCCTTGTAAGTTGGATTCCTAGGTATTTTATTCTTTTCATAGCAGTTGTGATTGGGAGTTCACTCATGATTTGGCTCTCTGTTTGTTACTGCTGTATAGGAATGCTTGTGATTTTTGCATATTGATTTTGTATCCTGAGACTGTGTCGAAGTTGTTTATCAGCTTAAGGAGATTCTGGCCTGAGACGATGGGGTTTTCTAAATATACAATCATGTCGTCTGCAAACAGGCACAATTTGACTTCCTCTTTTCCTAACTGAATATCCTTTATTTCCTTCTCTAGCCTGTTTGCCCTGGCCAGAACTTCCAACACTGTGTTGAATAGGAGTGGTGAGAGAGCACATCCTTGTCTTGTGTTTTCAAAGGGAATATGCTTCCACTTTGCCCATTCAGTATGATATTGGCTGTGGGTTTGTTGTAAATAGCTCTTATTATTTTGAGGTACATTCCATCAATACCTAGTTTATTGAGAGTTTTTAGCATGAAGGCTGTTGAATTTTGTTGAAGGACTTTTCTGCATCTATTGAGATAATCATGTCTTTGGTTCTGTTTATGTGATGGATTACGTTTATTGATTTGTGAATGTTGAACCAGCCTTGCATGCCAGGGATGAAGCCCACTTGATCATGGTGGATAAGCTTTTTGATGTGCTGCTGGATTTGGTTTGCCAGTATTTTATTGAGGATTTTTGCATTGATGTTCATCAGGGATATTGGTCTAAAATTCTCTTTTTTTGTTGTGTCTCTGCCATGCTTTGGTTTCAGGATGATGCTAGTCTCGTAAAATGAGTTAGGGTGGATTTCCTCTTTTCTATTGATTGGAATAGTTTCAGAAGGAGTGGTACCAGCTCCTCTTTGTACCTCTGGTAGAATTTGGCTGTGAATCTGTCTGGTCCGGGACTTTTTTTGGTTGGTAAGGTATTAATTATTGCCTCAATTTCAGAACCTGTTATTGGTCTATTCAGAGATTCAACTTCTTCCTGGTTTAGTCTTGGGAGGGTGTATGTGCCCAGGAATTTATCCATTTCTTCTAGATTTTCTAGTTTATTTGCCTAGAGGTGTTTATAGTATTCTCTGATGGTAGTTTGTATTTCTGTGGGATCAGTGGTGATATCCCCTATATCATTTTTTATTGCATCTATTTGATTCTTCTCTCTTCTTCTTTATTAGTCTTGCTAGTGGTCTATCAATTTTGTTGATCTTTTCAAAAAAACCAGCTTCTGGATTCATTGATTTTTTGCAGGGTTTTTTGTCTCTATCTCCTTCAGTTCTGCTCTGATCTTAGTTATTTCTTGCCTTCTGCTAGCTTTTGAATTTGTTTGCTCTTGCTTTTCTAGTTCTTTTAATTGTAATGTTAGGGTGTTGATTTTAAGTCTTTCCTGCTTTCTCTTGGGGGCATTTGGTGCTGTAAATTTCCCTCTACACTCTGCTTTAAATGTGTCCCAGAGATTCTGGTACGTTGTGTCCTTGTTCTCATTGGTTTCAAAGAACATCTTTATTTCTACCTTCATTTCGTTATTTACCCAGTAGTCATTCAGGAGCAGATTGTTCAGTTTCTATGTAGTTGTGCAGTTTTGAGTGGGTTTATTAATCCTGAGTTCTAATTTGATTCCACTGTGGTCTGAGAGACAGTTTGTTGTGATTTCTATTCTTTTACATTTCTTGAGGAGTGTTTTACTTCCAATTATGTGGTCAATTTTAGAATAAGTATGATGTGATCCTGACAAGAATGTATATTCTGTTGATTTGGGATGCAGAGTTCTGTAGATGTCTATTAGGTCCGCTTGGTACAGAACTGAGTTCAAATACTGGATATCCTTGTTAACCTTCTGTCTCGTTGATCTGTCTAATATTGACAGTGGGGTGTTAAAGTCTCCCATTATTATTGTGTGGGAGTCTAAGTCTCTTTGTAGGCCTCTAAGAACTTGCTTTATGAATCTGGGTGCTCCTGCATTGGGTGCTTATATATTTTGGATAGTTAGCTCTTCTTGTTGAATTGATCCCTTTACCATTGTGTAATGGCCTTCTTTGTCTCTTTTGATCTTTGTTGGTTTAAACTCTGTTTTATCAGAGATTAGGATTGCAACCCCTGCTTTTTTTGCTTTCCATTTGCTTGGTAGATCTTCCTCCATCCCTTTATTTTGATCCTGTGTGTATCTGTGCATGTGAGATGGGTCTCCTGAATATAGCACACAGATGGATCATGATTCTTTATCCAATTTGCCAGTCTGTGTCTTTTAATTGGAGCATTTAGCCCATTTACATTTAAGGTTAATATTGTTATGTGTGAATTTGATCCTGTCATTATGATGTTAGCTGGTTATTTTGCCTGTTAATTGATGCAGTTTCTTCATAGAATCAATGGTCTTTACAATTTGGCATGTTTTTCAGTGCCTGAGGCAGGTTGTTCCTTTCTATGTTTAGTACTTCCTTCAGGAGCTCCTGTAAGGCAGGCCTGGTGGTGACAAAATCTCTCAGCATTTTCTTGTCTGTAAAGGATTTTATTTCTCCTGCACTGATGAAGCTTAGTTTGACTGGATATGAAATTCTGGGTTTAAAATTCTTTTCTTTAAGAATATTGAATATTGGCCCCCACTCTCTTCTGGCTTGTAGGGTTTCTGCAGAGACATCTGCTGTTAGTCTGATGGGCTTCCCTTTGTGGGTAACCTGACCTTTCTCTCTGGCTGCCCTTAACATTTTTTCCTTTGTTTCAACCTTGGTGAATGTGACAATTATGTTCTTGGGGTTGCTCTTTTCAAGGAGAATCTTTGTGGTGTTCTCTGTGTTTCCTGAATTTGAATGTTGGCCTGCCTTGCTAGATTGGGGAAGTTCTCCTGAATGATATCCCGAAGAGTGTTTTCTAACTTGGTTCTATTTTCCCCATCATTTACAGGCACACCAATCAAACGTGGATTTGGTCTTTTCACGTAGTCCCATTATTTCTTGGAGACTTTGTTCATTTCTTTTTACTCTTTTCTCTAATCTTGTCTTCTTGCTTTATTTCATTAATTTGATCTTCAATCACTGATATCCTTTGTTCCACTTGATCAAATCAGCTATTGAAGGTTGTGCATGTGTCATGAAGTTCTCGTGCTGTGGTTTTCAGCTCCAGGAGGTCATTTAAGGTCTTCTCTACACTGTTTTTCCTAGTTTGCCGTTCATCTAACCTTTTCTTCAAGGTTTTTAGCTTCCTTGCAATGGGTTAGAACATGCTCCTTTAGCTCAGAGAAGTTTATTACCAACTTTCTGAAGCCTACTTCTGTCAACTCATCAAAGTCATTCGCCATCCAGCTTTGTTCCATTGCTGGCGAGAAGCTGTGATCCTTTGGAGGAGAAGAGGTGTTCTGGTTTTTGGAATTTTCAGCTTTTCTGCTGTGGTTTCTCCCCATCTTTGTGATTTTATCTACTTTTGGTCTTTGATGTTGGTGACCTACAAATGGGGTTTTGGTGTGGCTATCCTTTTTGTTGATGTTGATGCTATTCCTTTCTGTTTGTTAGTTTTCTTTCTAACAGTCAGGGCCCTCAGCTACAGGTCTGTTGGAGTTTGCTGGAGGTCCACTCCAGGCCCTATTTGCCTGGGTATCACCAATGGAGGCTGCAGAATGGCAAATATTGCAGAACAGCAAATATGGCTGCCTGATCCTTCCTCTAGAAGCTTCATCCCAGAGGGGCACCCACCTGTATGAGGTGTCTGTTGGCCCCTACTGGGAGGTGTCTATCAGGCTACATGGGGGTCAGGGACCCACTTGAGGAGGCAGTCTGTCTGTTCTCAGAGCTCCAACGCCGTGCTGGGAGAGCCACTGCTCTCTTCAGAGCTGTCAGACAGGGACGATTAAGTCTGCAGAAGTTGTCTGCTGCCTTTTGTTCAGCTATGCCCTGCCCACAGAGGTGAAGTCTATAGAGGCAGTAGGCCTTGCTGAGTTGCAGTGGGCTCTGCCCAGTTAGAGCTTCCCAGCTGCTTTTTTTTACCTAGTCAAGCCTCAGTAATGGCAGGTGCCCCTCCACCCGCCAGGCTGCAGTGTCACAGGTTGATCTCAGACTGCTGTGCTAGCAGTGAGCAAAGCTCCATGGGTGTGGGACCTGCTGAGCCAGGCATGAGAGGGAATCTCCTGGTCTGCTGGTTGCTAAGACTTTTGAAAACACAGTATTTGGGCAGAAGTGTACCATTTTTCCAGGTACAGTCTGTCACAGTTTCCCTTGGCTAGGAAAGGGAAATCTCCCAACCCCTTGAGCTTCCCAGGTGAGGCAACACCCTGCCCTGCTTCGGCTTGCCCTCTGTGGGCTGCACCCACTGTGCAACCAGTCCCCATGAGATGAACCAGATACCTCAGTTGGAAATGCAGAAATCACCCATCTTCTGAGTCGATCTTGCTGGGAGCTACAGACCAGAGCTGTTCCTATTTGGCCATCTTGGAAGTGACCTCCTTTTAATATCTTCTTCTTATTAGTACACCAGGCAGACTGGATTAGAACCTACCCTAATGTTCTCATTTTAACTTACCTCTTTAAAGGCCCTATTGCAATGCAGTTACATTCTGAAGTATTAGGTGTTAGGGCTTCAATATATGAATTTTGGGGGTGTACAATTCAGTCCATAACAACTTTGTTATTTAGCCACTTGTCAATTAACTTGAAATTAAGCATTTTTTCAGATTAATGGAAAGAACAATTTACATTTTTTGTTTCATAGCATTAACAAAGTTATGATGTTTTGTGGAATGAAAAATGGAGCAATTCGAGTCTATGTCCTAAATCAGAATGGTCCTTCATTGGCCAGTTTGGTGGACTACTGGCACTTCAATATGCATGACAATAATTATGGATGTATTAAAAGTATTGCTAGTAGCTTTGATGATCGTTTTTTGGTGACTGTTGGAGCAGATGGTAATATATTTGTTTTCAACATTATTTCTGAATTTATGCTAAGGAAAGACATCAAGGCCAAACTGCCATCTCCCAGGGTATGTAATTAATTAACCAGTTAATTAATAACAAACTATTTAAAAATAGTGATATTAAAATTGTTCATATTCTTTAGAAATTAAAATTCACATTCACCTTATAGTCTAATCTTCCTGCTAGTATTATAATTTGACTTTCTGGTGCTTCTATATCAAGTATTAAAGGTATTACATTCCCCTTATTATTAAAGATTGTAATTCCCCAGATTATAAAAGAATGTGTCAGTTTTTCTATGTAGTCAAAAGTTTGTATATTAAAAAAACTTTCTTAATCAGTTTTTTTTTCAAAGTTCACAATTCTTCAGATTTTCTTTTGCTTTTCATTTATTCATTCACTCATTGTAAGGGCTGATATAGGACATATGCCATAAAGCGTGGTTTTGATAGGAGTTGCCAAAATATACTTGCTTTTAGTATTAGAATGTGACAATGTGGGTCATGATCAAAGATCCAGTATAAAGTATTTTTTTTAAAAGCAGAACTAGATTTTTGGCTTTATGATGAAGTTTGAGGGTTCAGATCCCCAAATTATGTCCTTTTTTTCCTGTCGTAGAACTTGAATTTCATATTATCAAAGCAAGTTATTTGGATAAATAAGTAGTTAACCATTAGAATTGCTCCTAAGGAGAAAGGAGTTGTATTAGAAAGATTATAGCTAAAATTCCTTTGAACATATTGGCTTCCCATTTAGCAGGTAGCCTACCTCAAAGTACACATAAAGAATATAGGGAAGATATGAGTAGGTTGATTTTCATTTCTTCTAATAGCAAAATTTGGAGTATGGGCTGCTGTTTAGTGAGGGTCCAGCTCAGAAAAAGGAATTACAGGAGGGAAAGTATATGAACAAGAAGAAAATGCCTTTCTACCTGGTGCAGTCCTCTCTATAGAAATCCATATTGGATAGAAAAATATTTATTCTGCATTTCAATAATCGTGTTTTTTAATTTACGGCTGCAGTCAATGTCCCTCTCTACAGAAACCCATATTGGATAGAAAAATACTTATTCCACATTTAAATTTATGGCTGCAATCAATATTTCTGAAATCACTGAAGCAGACATTGCTTTTAAGAAAGAAAAATTAGAAAGAATTTTAAAAAAACAAAACAAAACAAAAAACAAAACAGAAAACAACTAAGCTCAGCACTGGTCTGAGGTTCTTACCTTACTGTGCTTTAGAATCAGCTGGGGAGCCCTAGAAGTACAGATACCAGAGCCCACCCAAGAACAATTAAATTAGAATCTCTGAAGGTGAGGCCCAGGCGTCAGTATTGTATACAGTATCCTTCATGTAATTCTAATGTGCAGCTAGGATTGAGACCCATTGGCATATATTTTGGAACTGATTGGCATACTTTTGGAACTTTGTTTAACTCAACTTTATTGGAAGCAACTGTGGCCAGGAGACAATTGCCCCAGTGTCAGCATCAAATCCTGGAAGTCACACTGATATTAGAAAATCAAGATACTTAGCTCTGGCCAATAAAAGAATAAAAAATAAATAAAATTCAATAAATTTTTGTCCTAAATGATTAATAGTACAATTTATTAGCCTTTACTGTCTCCTATATTGATCATGTTTTATGACTTTGCTTTTATTAAAGTCATAAACCTTGACTTCTGTAAAAATATGTAGATTTACATCATTTCATACATATAAAGATTAATAAAACAACTTTATCAAAAGAGAATCTTTATTTACTTACAACAAATAACAACAAAACAGAGACCTATCTTCTAGGAAAGAGAATGTGGAATAAAGTTTAGTGTTAGTTATGAACTGACTAGTTAGCAAGCTAAGACTATTTTGTTCACTGGGTTATAATTCTCCTTCTTTAATATCACAGACTACGACATTTTACAGCACAGTACCTGAATAAACAGAGTACTTTTATTTTTAAGTGATTTAGTTCTTAGTTCCCCCAAATTTAAACTAATTTCCTTTCTGAAGGGAGATTTGTATTTTTGATTTCCTATCTTTCTCTTTCAAGGAGGGGGATTATATTGTTCTTTGCATTTTCCACTTTATGTCTTCCTTTGAGAAGGTGATATAAAATGCTTACTTAAAATTTAAAAATATATATATTGAAATATTTCTAGGACACACTGAGGTATTTAGACAAATGATTCATGTGATAAAGGGATATACCAAAAAACAGCATTTTGAAATAAATGGTCTAGACTTTTGTGAATTCTGTGTCAATAGCATATGAATATTAGTAATTTACATTTTGAGGGGAAATTACGGGGATATTAATATTTTGTAAACATATGATTAGGTTGAGACTTTTCCTATGAACTCCTTCAAATAAAGCAGAAATGAATAAGTTTAATAAACTGCAATTTTTTCCTTAGATTTTTGTGAAACTGTTTTTCAGACCTACAGTTATTAGAAATTGGCAGGAAAAAAACCTGAACCAATTTGAATTTTTAATTTACTTCTTCCTAGATATTTTAAGGAAAATGCTATGCAATTTTACAGGGCTAACCTTTTACTTCCCTTCTTATAGTTTGGAATTGAAACAGAGCCAATTCCAGAAGACATTGAAGATCCCAAAGCCTACAGGTATGGGAATTTTTGATAAATACTGACTAGGACTGAGATTGTGCAAAACAAATCAACAGTGCAGAAGTTGATGAAGTTTAATGAATTTTCAAATTATTGAATACTAATTTTCTCTGCTGTTTCTGTATCACAACCTGTTATTGTTTTAAATTTCTGTTTTCAGTATCGAGAATGCTAGGAGAAAAAGAGAACATGACAAGTTAATGAAAGAAGTGGAAGAAATAAAGGCACGGAAGAGAGAGCAAATCAAAGCTTTGAGGACTGAATTTTGTAAACTATTAGAAATGAATGAAGAATTACCAACGCATATGCAGTTTAAACGAACAGTAAGCCTAATATAAACTTGATTTTTATTTTAACATATGCTCTTTCTGGATAGAGATGACTATTTTCCCAACAAGTAGAAACACTTAAAATTGTTTTTCTTTTTTGTTTGTTTCTTTCAAAATTTCAATAGCCATTTATTTTGGGCATCTTTTAGTTTGTATGTGGGGTTTATCTATTTTAATCAGTTAAGATTCTTGTTGACATAAATTGTTTTACATCAACTGTTGTTATAGAACACATGAAAGGAATACATGGGGAAGCAATAAAGTAGAACCCAAGAGTTCTTTTAAGTTTTCTGTTATAGAGACATGAATAACAGATACACTGAAGTATAATCAAAAATTGGCCTGAAGCATCCGGTGGCTGGTTTCATTGGGAACTGTGGCTAAACGTCATCCAGATTTGATCTTTTGCCGCAAGCAGACTGGTGTTGCTATCGGAAGACTGTGTGAAAAATGTGATGGCAAGTGTGTGATTTGTGATTCCTATGTGCGTTCCTGCACTCTGGTGCGCATATGTGATGAGTGTAACTATGGATCTTACCAGGGGTGCTGTGTGATCTGTGGAGGCCCTGGGGTTTCTGATGCCCATTATTGTAAGGAAGTGCACCATCCAGGAGAAGGATAGGGATGGCTGCCCAAAGATTGCCAGTTTGAATAACTCTAAGACAGACCTTTTCTATGAATGCAAAAAATATGGCTTCAAGAAGAGGTGATTGGTGGGTGGCCCCTTCCTCCCCTCCACATCAAGCTGCTGCAGCTGCAAGAAAAGATGCCTACTACTAGCAGCAGAAAGGGAGTGGAGCCCAGAGCATCACCAGGAGTGCCTTCTAGTGTACTGTCACCTTGCCACCCGCTCCTCTCCCTTCACCCAGACACATAGAAGGAATGCAAAAGGATTCTTCACAGAGCACTCCGGTACACTATATCAGAGAAAAATTGATAGATTAGCTAATGGTTTTTCTTGAATTTGAGAAGCAAAGCCCTGTTCTCCATATTGAAATGTTCTCCCTCAACCAAGATCTTCTAAAAAGAAGTAATATTTTAGTCTTCTGCTTGAGGAGTTGACTGTGAAGCTATGCCCAGTGAAAAACGTGAAACGTGTTCTTGCAGCAGCTCTGGTGGCAGTTATCCTCGAGGAACCTTCGGTGTGTGGTGGGAAGCTATCAGAACAAGAAACGTAGGCATTTAATCTTATAACACTTGTGCTGGTTTCATGTTGTTTTCCTTCTGAGAAATTAGAAACCCTTTATGTTGCTATTATATTAATAAAGTTGGTGTTTGTTTTCTGGTTAAAGAAAAAAACAAAACAGAACAAAACAAAACAAAAAAACTGTGGTCAGAATAGCAGGTCTTCAAAATATAAAGCAGAAAGTAAAATACAGGTCTTTAGGCCGGGTGCGGTGGCTCATGCCTGTAATCCCTACACTTTGGGATGTTGAGATAGGTATATCACGATCAGGAGATCGAGACCATTCTGGCTAACACATTGAAACACCGTCTCTACTAAAAATACAAAAAAATTTAGCTGGGTGTGGTGGTGGGTGCCTGCAGTCCCAGCTACTCAGGAGACTGAGGCAGGAGAATGGCGTGAAACCCCGGAGGTGGAGTGTGCAGCGAGCCGAGATTGCGCCACTGCACTCCAACCTGGGGGACAGAGTGAGACTCCGTCTCAAACAAAAAAAAAACAAAAACAAAACAAAAAAAAACAGGTCTCTATTTTACAATGTGTATAATTATATAATTTCTTATAAATTATAAAGTTACTTTAACACAATACACAAAATAATAACAGTAGTCATTTTTTATAATTCCATAAGCATTTTAAATACAGACATGTTAAGATGGCAAAATTATGCTGTGCTATGCAACTTTTGCCTCAATTAATCTACCTCACTAGCTCAGGCTGAATATTCACTCTCTGAAGCACTTCCTCAGGCATGCCAAAAGTAGGACTAGCAGATGAAATTACATACGTGGTTTATCTCTCTCAATCCAATGAAGCCTTCCAGTGATCTTCAGGACAGCCAACACCCACCATGAATAGCATATACCTGGTAACTTCCCTGGCCTTCCATTACATCCACCGGAGGGTAACTCATTCACAAAACCACTAACCAAGTAAATCAGAGTTTACTTGATGTGACTGACTTGGTAATAATCAGGAATCCTGTGCAACAATAAATGTACCCAGCATGGGATTCAGAACCTGGTCTGCAACCAAATCCACCATCAAAATTCGTACACAGATAAAACAAATTCAACTGCCTTTTTTACATTAATAGCATCAAACTTCCCAGGACAGCCAGTTTCCACCACACAAAAAGAGAATCTTGTATCAATTTCCCCCTACTTTATAAAAGTAGATTTTTCCCATCCCATGAAACAGCTGGTCTCTCTGCCCTGCACTGTGTTCATCCCTTATCTTTCAGTCTGGCCCCCTCTGGTCCAGTGCTTCTGTATGCTGATAAAACTACCACAGTGCACGTTGGAACTTCCAGCAGACCATTAGCTCCAGTTAGAGCAGCTGCTCAGGTTGACCCCAAAAGTCTCCAGCAAGAGAACCATCTTCTTTCCATAGACTTGGAACATATTCCACAACTTTTTTACATCGATAACATTAATGCTATCATACAGAGTAAGAATCTGGACAGCACTAAGAGTGTATAAAAGATGAGGATCACGTCTGATAATTAGCACTTATTCCACCAAACTCATATTGGCAAGACTTAATAAATGTCAGAATTTCTTCACTATTCATGCAATGAAGTTGTCCCATGAGATCCAATACTGTCAGACCCCAATAGATGCCACTCGTTCTCAAATACTCAGATATATAGTATTCATAATCATCTTTCTTTGAGCCATAGGATGTGATAACAATCTACATGTTTCTCCAATAATAAAGTATCTGGTGTATCTCACTTGATAATAATATGCCCATGTCTAAGAGTGAAAAGCCAAAATCATCTTTAAGCTTCTTTTTATCTGGCCAGTCAGTATGTTTGCAGCAAACTACTCTAGAACTTGACACACTGTGTGGTTTGGAAGCAGATGAACCTTTTTACGTAATACAAAGTTTACTATTGGATTTACCTACCACACTTTTTTTTTTTTTTGGTAGCAAGATAAGACATAAGTATAGGTTTGAATCTGGTTATTAACTCTTATTGTACTTAGCCAAAATACAGTGGGTAGATACATTTATAATTTGATTATCTGTGGTTCTATTTCTATAATTTATCAGATCTGTTGAAAAGACAGTACCTGGTTGATCTACAAAACTTTAAAAAAATGATTTAATATAGTTGTAGCTATGGGGGCAATCACAAAATTGTCTAAGACAATTTTGTATTCTACCTTTTTTTTGTGACTTATTGCAAAGCCCCATGTACCTGCTAGTGGTTACGTTTTTTTCATTTTGTACCCCTTCCTAAATGTAGTTAACCATCTAATCAATTAAAAACCCATAATTCTTAATATACTCATGGGTTACCCAGTCCTGTAGTTCTAGAAGCATTTCACCAATTTCATATAAAAAATGCTTTGGTGAAATCATGATTTAATCATGTTGGTTAAAAAAACCAAGTCAAAATAGTTAAAAGACCTTTATGCTATTTTTCTAAGATAAATGTTGAAACTTCCAGAGCATGAGTAATAACATTTAAGATAAAAAACAACTGAGGCAAGTGCTGTGCTAAGCACTTTGTACACATCATTACTTAAATGAAACAGAAACACCTCTGGAAGGAATAATTACTACTCACAATTCAGCACAAATATTGGCTCTGATATTTTTCCAGGGATGAAGGTAAGAAACATGAGACCTCTTCTGGGAGAAAGTGGAGCCCTTTGTGAAGGAGATTCAACAAAAACTTGGTGATGTCAAGAAGACACCAGATACTGCTGTCTTTCCTGGGTGGGGTCACACCAGGGCGGATGTTCAGATAATGATCAGTTGCTAAAAGCATCTACCTTATGTCCAATTTTTATGTAATAGTAGTTTCTTTGAGACAGCGAGAGTATTTTTTAAAACTGTATACTCTCCAAATATTGATAGCATTCATTATTTTTATTGTGGGAAAAAAATCTTAAACTGTGTAGCTTTATTTGCTTATTGTTAATTGCCAAGAACATTTCTCCTTATATTATGGAAGTAAAGTTAAAAATATGCTGTTTTTCTTCTATAATGGACAGAGTTTATGATATTTGGGGAAGAGTTATGATGCAACATGAAACTGGGGACAAAACTGAAATCTATGAAACAGAGTTGATAAAGTACCCATTGTGATGAACAGATCTTCTTATCTGCAGGATTTTGATGTAGATTCCAAAATCCGTGCTGAGATGCACAGAAAAACAGCTTTCAAAATTCAACAAGTGGAAAAGGAATTAGCTTGGGAAAAAGAGAAACATGAACTCGGCCTAAAGAAGCTAAAGAATCGGTAGGATCCATATTCCCTACAAGCCAAGATGTTTGAGAGCACATGTTTGAATAACATAGTTTATAGTAGTGTCAGTGAAGTGGCCAGATAAGAGGGCTCTGGAAGTACCCACTGACTTGAAATCTCAAGGAATCCTCTTGTCACTGCTACTGATCTTTTACTGAGCTTTCTGCGTACTCCTTTCTAGTTTAAATGTGGGAAATTTGTTTAATATTTAGATTTTAAAAATTATATAATACATATTTACTTTGTCTTATTTCATATCAAATTAATTAATGAACATGATGTATTAAGAAATAAAAAATCAAATGTAACCAAAGGACTTTAAACAAAAGACAACCAGAGGTGGCTCTGGTTTTATCCTTCTCATGCATCAATTTGACTTCCAGGGGAAATGATTTTTTTTTTGCCATTTACTGAGATATAATTTACATAAGTAAAGTACATAAATCTTAACATCTTGAAAATTTTTTACAGATGTATAAATATATCTACTACTCAGATTAAGATAGAGACCATTTATAGCACTCCAGAACGTTTCCCCATGTCCCCCTCACCTCAGGAAATACTCTCCAAAGTTGAACCTTTATTGCCATAAATTAGTTTTGTTTGTGAATTCCATATACATAGAGTGTTACAGTATGGATTCTTTTGCATCTGGCCTTTTTCTAAAACTCATGTGATGTCTAAGATTATCAATGTTGTTACATGTGTCAGTTGTTCATTCTTTTCCACTGCTTTTTAATATTTCTTTAAAATGATTATACCACAGTTTATCCCTTCTACTGTTAATAGATATTTGAGTTGTTTCTATTTTTTGGCTACCATAAATAATGCTACTGTGAACATTGTGTATGTTTTTTGATGGATATAAGTGCTTATTTCTGTTGGTTATATACTCAGTTGTAGAATTGCTGGGCCATAGGTAATATGCCTGTGTAGTTTTGTTAGATCCTGTCAGTTTTTTTCAAAACGGTTTGAAAATTTACACTCTTCAATTTACACACTTACCATCAATGTATGAGAATCCCAGTTGATCCCCATTGTGTTAGTGTCTTAGAGCTCCTGTACAAAAATACTACAAACTGATTGGCTTAAAACTGGTTATTTATTGTCTCACAGTTCTGGAGGCTAGAAGTCCAAAATCAAGGAGTCAGGCAAGTTGTTTCTTTCTGAGGACTTGGTGGGGGAGAATCTGTTCCATACCTGTCTCCAAGCTTCTAGTGGTTTCCAGCAATCTTTGGTTTTCTTGGCTTATGAATCCATCACTGCAAATCCTCTGCTTTCACTCAATGTTCTCCCTGTGCCTCTTCATTATAGGTTTCCCTGTGTATGTCCATCTCTGTCCACATTTCTGCTTTTTATAAGAACACCAGTCATGTTTCATTAAGGCCTGCTGTAATGATCTCATTTTAACTTGATTGCCTCTATCAAGACTGTATTTTCAAATAAGGTCACACTCTGAGGTACTGAGGGTTAGGACCTCAACATAGCTTTTTAGGGGGACACAAATCCCAAAAATACTCATGCTTGGGATTGTCAGCCCTTTAAATTCCAGCTATTCTGTAGCAGCATCTCAGCATGGTTTAAATTCGCATCGCCCTGATGAGTGATGATTTTCAGCCCCTTTTCATATCTTTACCAATCATTTGTATATTTTCTATTGTTAGGTGTTTGTTCCAGTCTTTTGTCCATTTTTAAAACTGGGTTGCAGGAATTATGTATATCTTCTGGATATGGGCTTTGGTTATTTATATACATGTATCATATGAGTGACTATGTATATGACATGTATGTATGTGTGTGTGTGTGTGTGTGTGTGTGTGTTTGCACATATAACATACCTTGCTGTAGTATGTGGCTTTAGTCTCTTAATAGAGTTGTTTGTTGAATACAAGTTTTTTCTTTTGATGAAGTTCAACTTATTAGTCTTTTTTTTAAAGATTAATGCTTTTGTGTTATACTTAAAGAACTTTTGCCTACTCCCAATTCATAAAATAATTCTGCGTTTTCTTCTAGAAACTCTATTGTTTTTCCATCTTTAACAATTTTTATGGGTGGTGTGAGATCATGCCATGTTTTTATATTGATATCCAATTGACCTGGTATTGTTTGTTTAAAAGACCATCTGTTCCTTACTAGATTGTAGTGATGCTTTTGTCATAAGTCAGGTAGCTGTACATGTGAGGGTCTGTTTCTGAACTCTTTATTCTATCTCATTGACCCATCTGTCTATCCAGATGCCAGTATCACTCTGTCTTAATTAAATCTTGACATCTAATATTGTAAATCCTCTAGCTTTGTTATTCATCTCCAAGATTGATTAGGTTCTTTGCATAGAATCGACTTGTCAATTTTTACAAAAAGCCTGCTAAAATTTGTATTGGAATTACATGGAATCTATAGAAATAATAGACATTAAGGAATAAATTCCTATTTAAGAATAATAGATATTTAAATAATATTTCAATAATAAATATTATCTTACATAGACATATCTTAAAAAAGAATCAGTTTTAATATTTTTATAGTGGTTATAACCATGTATCTAAATAATATATTTATATGTATTTATTATTAGTCATTTTTATTGACTTCCTAATGTGGTAGCTAAGGATTTTCCTCACTTTAACTTATGCTTTCCTCTACCTTCTAGAAAATGTAGAATATATTAATAATAATTATATACATTTTATATATAATATGTAATTATACATAATATATATAAATGAAGAATATATTATAATAATTACTTTAATGTCCTTGTCTGCTAGTTATATTATCTGCATCATTTCTCTGCATGTTTCTATTGACTGATATATTTCTCTTCATTTTGGGTTACATTTTTATGGTTTTTAAAATGCTTTTTTGGGTTACGTTTTTATGCTTTTTGCCTATCTGCCTGGTAAATTTTGATTGTAAATTTTGCATTGTAGGTGCTAGATATTTCTGTATACTTAAATTTTTTTTGTAACTTTTTTTTAATACTTTAAATTCTAGGGTACATGTGCACAACCTGCAGGTTTGATACATAGGTATACATGTGCCATGTTGGTTTGCTGCACCCATCAACTCATCATTTACATTAGGTATTTCTCCTAATGCTATCCCTCCCCCCAGCCCTCCACCCCCTGACAAGCCCCAGTGTGTGATTGTTTCCTGCCCTGTGTCCAAGTGATCTCATTGTTCAATTCCCACCTATGAGTGAGAACATGTGGTGTTTGGTTTTCTGTCCTTGTGATAGTTTGCTGAGAATGATGGTTTTCAGCTTCATCTATGTCCCTGCAAAGGACATGAACTCATCCATTTTATGGCTGCATAGTATTCCATGGACGGAGTCTCACTCTGTCACCCAGGCTGGAGTGCAGTGGCGTGATCTCGGCTCACTGCAACCTCTGCCTCTTGGGTTCAAGCAATTCTCTGCCTCAGCCTCCTGAATAGCTGGGATTGCAGGTGCCTGCCACCATGCCCAGCTAATTTTTTTGTATTTTTAGTAGAGATAGAGTTTCACCATCTTGGCCAGGTTGGTATTGAACTCTTGACCTCGTGATCCACCTGCCTAGGCCTCCCAAAGTGCTGGAATTACAAGCATGAGCCACTGCGCCTGGCTTAACTTTTTTTTTTTTTTTTTTAATTTCAATAGTTTTTTGGGGAACAGGTAGTGTTTGGCTACTTGAAGAGTTTTTTAGTGGTGATTTCTGAATTTTTGGTGCACACATCACCTGAGCAGTGTACACTGTACAAAATGTATAGTCTTTAATCCTTCACCATCCCCCACCCTTTGCCCTGGGTCCCAGCAGAGCTACTGGGCTCCGGGTTGGTACTGGGGAGTATCTGCAAAGAGCCCTGTGATATGATCCTTCTTCAGGTCTTGAAGCCATGGATACCAGAACCTGCTCCCGTGGAGGTAGCAGGGGAGTGAAGCAGACTCTGTGAGGGTCCTTGGTTGTGTTTTTGTTTAGTGTGCTCATTTTGTGTTGGGTGGCCTCCAACCAGGAGGTGGTGCTTTCGAGAGCCCATCAGCTGTGGTCCTGTAGGGAGGATGCAAACTTGCCCTAGAGACACCTAGTTAAGTACTCAGGTTTCTCAGGCAGTGGGCAGGGCCATATAGAGTACCCAAGAGATTATGACCTTTGTCTTCAGCTACCAGGGCAGGTAGAGAAAGACCACCAGATCAGGGCAGGGATAGGTGTGTCTGAGCTCAGCATCTCCTTGGGCGGGGCTTGCTGTGGCTGCTGTGGGGAATGGAGGTGTGGATCCCAGTCCAATAGAGTTATATTCCTAGGGGGATTATGGCTGCCTCTGCTGAGTCATACAGGGAAGTTGAGGAAAGCTGGTAGTGATAGGCCTGACCCCACTCCCATGCAACCCACAGTCCTAAAGGCTGGTCTCACTCCTACCATACCCTCCTAACAGCACCAAGTCTATTTCCAGACAGCTGCTGAGCAGAGCTGAGAACTGCCCCAGACCAGGAGCCTTCCCATTGAGAAGGCAAGCAGATTCAGTTTTTTGGCATTTCAGGGAACCTACATCCGTGATCCAGTTCCTTCAGAGGGTCTGTGGATTCTCTCAACTTTTCTGAGTATGTTCCTGTGGTAGTTCTTGGAGCAAAAGTTCATGATGTGAGTCTCCACATGATGCTCTGTCCCCATCTGCAAGCTAATCCTGCCTCCTATCTGCCATTTTAATCTCTGTATACTTTTAAATATTCTTGAACTTTGTTCTGGAATTCAGTTAAGTTACATGGAAATATATATCTATATCTATAGATATAGATATAGATATAGATTTTTTTTTTTTTGAGGCTTGCCTTTAATCTTTATTAGGTGAGATCAGGGCAGCCTTCAGTCTAGGGCTAATTTTTTTCCAGCTACGAAGACAACACTCTTCTGAGTAGTATATCCTATGTCCCTTGTATTATCAGGTTTATGGGAACACAAGTTATTTCAACTGTGTGAGATCTGTGGATTATTCTGCCTGCTCCTTTCTGGTGTTTCTTT